TCCATTATGAGGCTTATGTCACCCGACAATAGGGATTAACCTTCGGGAGAATGCTACGAGAAAGCGGCAACGGCTGCCATGACAGTGATCGTACCGGGTGTCGTTTTTAAGCCGCTTCCGAGCAACGGCTTGTTTGCAGTTCCTGCGACAAACCATACTTCGTAGCTGGCCTCGAAGAGAACGCAGTCGATCGAAAATCGGCGTTGGACCAACAACGATAGAACCTTTTCCACGAAGATAATTTCCAATACCCTTCGGCTTACGATAGTCGTATTTCAAATAAATAAGTCGTCGACGAGTCCAAGGTAAATAGTGCTACGCAATTTTACGCAATTATGGGTCAAACACTGATGTTCCTCCACGGGAAAAACAATCGAGAAAAGCACTTTTTGGAGCGTTTCAGTTATGTTGGTCAGTGAAGGAAGGAGGGCGTGGAGTTAAGGGTCAAGATGACCACCATTGTAATCGTCAAGTCAAGGGCTACCTGTGATAAAGAAATCAGCCCGATCGGAGGGTACTCCATTTTTGTAAACTCAACCGAAATAGCGCGTTACACGAGGCTTATCTATGTATTCTTCTTCCAATGGACGACCAATGAACCACGTGTATCTTGACACTGTGACCGCTGTTCGATGCCCACCAAGCGAAACGTACAATTGCAGCTTGGCGCAATTAACAGGTCTGGTTTATTCACCGGTTAGGTTGAGTTAATTGTAATCGACGATTAACAACCAGTAACTTCAGCGCTCCATTACCTCGCTTTGACCCGCACTATATGATCCCCTCGCAACGTCCGAGCTCCGTCTCCCCGCAAATGTCGCTTTGACGCGGCGCGCATACCTCGGGCTACCATCGACGCTCGAGATGCTAATTTCTTAAACTCCGCGATTCGTAAAGCCACATGCACGATCGCGACAAAGTCACGTAATGAAACCTTGTCGCGCAACTTTCACGGGTCTGTTTGCGCGAAAACTTGCAACCTCTTACGCGCGTCGTCAAAGCCTGAAAGGACATTGTTCGACTAAATTACTCGCTACGCAAACGCGACGCTTCGAAACTTCATCGATACCTGCGCTATTATCTGTTCACGCGTACTTTTCCCTGCTTGGGATGAAATCATACATTCCTATGTTTACAACGTAGAATTAGACGTAACCTTCGCTGACGAAATGGAGAAAAATAAAATAGGTAGTTAGAAAGGAAGCACGTTCGATAAGAAACAATGTACGATACGAATCGTCTTAACCATGAAAGGGGTATCTGGGATCAGGCAAATCGAAGGAGACCGATAGCTATCGATTGGTCGAGGAGTGACGCTCGATATAATGCCAGCCCCGTGGGGCCCGAAACTTTTCTCATTCTAGCGGAAACAAAGAATCGCGGGGTTACGAGAGAGCGTGTCCTTATCGCGACCGAATCTTGCGCGAAGGACCGCCCCCAATCTCGAGCAATCATCGGAACGTGGCCAACGCGCGTGCAATGTATGTGCTAAATTGCTATGGCGAGCGAGGATAAGAGTAACGAGCGAGGGCATTCAAACGGCAACGTTACACGGTACGTGTAACGCTTTGCTTCGCTCTTCGAACTGCCCGAGAAGGGCGAATGGATAGAACTGCATCGTCACATTTTTATAAGCTGCGTACACTCCTCGCTAGAGTGTTCCGTTTTCTAAGCAACCGTTCGCTTCCGTTTGAAAATATGGAAAGAATGGTGAACGGAAATCATAGGAAAAATCAGTTTACTTATCGCGGCACGGTATCGAAGTTAACGATCGAAGCAATTTTCGAGAAATCAATCGCAGAATGGTCTCGTTAATCTGGCGGGGTGGTTTCTAGATGCTCGGTTACTCTTACATCGCGTAATAGTATCGGGGCATCCCCCACGTTGGCCTTAACCCCCCACCCTTCTCTGGCAACTCTTCGGACCGAACCACCCTCTCCGCTTCTCCGCCTCTGCGCCGTTTCCCAGCTAAGTCTGCGAGTGACTGAGTGGTTATTTAGGTAAGAGCCAGTCTCCCTGTGCAGCAGCTACCCCCTCCAACCCCACTCCGCGCCTAAGTAATGGTCCCGCAACATATTGTGCAAAGAAAAACTCGCTCGCTTATTTACGCTACTCTGTTCGTGAGAAAGGGAGAAAGAGAGAGAAAAAGAGTTCCTTCCCACTTGTCTCGTACTCGATCGTCAGGGAGAAATAACCGATCGGGCTAAATCCGATGACGAAAACGCAAAAGGAGAAAATCAGCAGACTTCTCTATCGTATTAAGTAGATGCAATGCGAACAAAGCGGGCAGAAATTTAGACGGTAGACTACTCAGGAGATTGTAGAATTATGGGAAGAAACCCTGATACGATGCAACAGAAACGATCATCGCGCGATCAGGCTGGGGAAAGCCCGATCCGTGCTTCTGCTACTAATGCCTGTCGATCCGTACAAATAGCTGTGATACTTCTCCACTGGCATAATTACGGATCGGATGAACGGAAGATAGCGCTTAACTGCGTGGCGCGAAGGGTGGGCCGTGATCGCGGAGCAAACGTCAACCAACTGCTGGATCAATTGATGCGCGCGGACTCTCGCCACGCATACGCGTGCCGCTCCAAACACGAAACTCGCTCGGCCAACGATACCTTTTCTCGAATCTCCTGCATCCCTTCAGCAACGTCGGCGCCGGCACGTGTCGAACGCCCGAGACACGTGCGGCACACCGCCAAAAATCGATATGCCGTCGTGGCGGCTACTATACCTTCGACCTCATATATTATTCTAACGCGCTTTAACCTCCCGCCCGATCCCGCAAACCTTCGAACGCACGAATTTCTCTATCGTCGCGGCACAGCGCCCCGGTTCCCATGACGCGTAATCGCTCGATGATTTCGTTACGCTCGCCGAGATTTCGTCGACCAGCGATTACTCGCTCGTGCACGGTTCGACAACGAAACGTTCCCATTGAGTGGTATTTATCGCGCCGGGGAAATGGATCGCTTTAGAGCAGTCCGTAACGTAAACTGCCTATGTACCACCGCATGGTTTACAGAGGTATCATCTGCTCGTTCTCTCGAGAAAATAATGCGTTCCTCGCTCGGTCGAATAAAGAAGAGAACGTTTTAAGCGTTCAACGTCTGACCGCGATTTAATTAATTCTTGGACCAGAACGCAAGCGCGCCACCCGCGTCAACAATGGATCCACTTAAGCAATAAACAAAAATGGTACGTAGCCATTGATGGCGCACATTCGGAGGCGATACGTAGACTGGTAGGGTAGAGATGATCTGATTACGACCGCATCATGGGAAAGTCAACTCGCAAACCGAGGGTAGAAACTCGATTCATCCTATCGTATCCTATTGTGCGAGCACTGTCACCGATGCGTATAATTCGAAGGGATCCGCGCGCATCCACACGCTCCGGCATTAATTTCGAGCACAAAAAGGTGCTCCGAAACAGAGTGCGACGAGACGAGACGTGTCTCTCACCGGCTCGTCGTGGCGATCGAAATACGAACGCGGGACTGCCAGGGTACAGTGAAAGCCTCGACTGTTGCAGAAAACAGGGGCTGAAAATTCCTGCGATAATCGAGGTAAACTTCAATTCGATGCACGCACCGTCTAGCCTGTCGAAGCTCGTTTAGGACTGGCTTCTGGCTACGCTATCGAGGCTAGCCAAAAAAGGCAAACGCGAATCGGACGTATTGGAAGCGCGGGGTGACGGGAAACGGAAAAAGGGCCGGGGACAGGAAGAAACCGCGAAGAAAGGACGGGCCACAATGGGCCGTTTATCAAAAAGTCGTGATACCGCGCTGGCAGCGCCTTTCCACCAGTACGGATAGGTCCATCAATAAAACCAAGTGATTTAGCGAGTCCCTGGCGGTCGAAGTGGGAAAAGTAAGGTGGCGGAGCACGAATTTCCAAGATAAAGGGGTCAACAATGGACGGTAACCAATGGTTGGTATTCGGCCAGTGTCGAAACGCCGCCTTCCAATCACTCGCCGATAACAATGCCCTCGGTCTGGTTTATAAATCCGCGCATTGTTGCGAACTTAAAAGCTCTCGCGACGGGGATGCAAGAGCGAGAAAGAGAGAGAGAGAGAGACGGAGAAGGAGATCGACGCGATGGAGAACAGACCAAGTGGCAGGGAAGGAGAATCTACTCAAGATCTCAGGCGTTGAAAGCACGTCGGAAAGGTAGAAGAAGAGAGAACGAGAGGGACGTTAAGGGAGGAGAGCGTGGGTGTTTAAAGAGTGGGAGCGAGAAAATGGTGGCAGAGCTTGAGAGCCGTGTAAAAGCATTGAGAGCACTTTAATGAATACGATTAGGGGCGTTAACTGTGAAGGATTGCCAAGCTGAAGAAAGCGCCGCGCCAGGGAAAGCTCTTTACCGGCGCCTTCGGCTGTATCCCGAGCTCGAGCCGGATCCTCGGCTCGTCGAGGAAATTTTCGGCTCGACTTCGAACGCCTCCGCGCGATCTCGTTTGCTCGATTCAATTTTGATACAACCTCGCTTCGTTAACCGTATTCGTATTTCCCGATAATTCCCTCGGCTTTGTTTACGAAGCGAGATGCGCCCGGAAAATATCGCGAGCCTAAGTGGATCGTTGGGTGGTAAGTGCTGTATCGGTCTTAAAAACAACGCGGACTGATGGACGTTTCGGTTGGTCGGTTAATCGTAAGTTGGAAAACGTTGGCCCCGGGACTCGTATCTCCGGCAGATGCACTTATCTGCCCACTAGAACGCGATGTCGCGCTATCAGTGCGCGAACGACAAACCCACTTCCTATGCACATTCTTGTTCTTTCTTGTCAGTCCAGTCTGGCTGGGAATAATCTGCCTCATTAGCGAAGCCGATAGAACCCGAGCGCTGCCTACGCGAACCGAGCCACGCGTGTGTAGACGATGCGTGTGCAGTGATGGAAAACCGGCCACGCGTGTCTGACCGATAGGCAAAACGCTTAGTCGTAACGACCGAAACTTTTCGTCGTTCCAATTAGCGCCGACGTTGTTACCCGAGCCATCGCGCGTGTCTCCGTTGTAACAATCCTACCTGCCTGTGTACACGGTGCTCGTTAAATTATCGCCAAAGGCGACGAATCGGGGACACTGTTTTAAGGTACGGGTAATCTATGTATCCGGGAAATCAACGCAAATACGTTACCGGTTCGGGAGAAGGAAAGACTATTTGCCTCGAATACTAGCGAAGAGTTTCAGATTATGCAAACGCGCGATTAATTTAGCGAGAGCCTCGCTCACACGGAGGACTGGCTCTAATTTGGCGATTCTCGATCGGTAGGGTAATCACAGCAACGGACCTAGCGACGTCCCCGAGTGGAGAGTTAGTCCAGCCAGGCATACCAGTGTCGGAGAACACGTATGCACCGGACGCATGGCCACGTCGGCGTCGCGTCGCGACGCTTCGCGTTGGCCGCCTAAGCCGCATAGGTACGCAAACGCGCGCACGTGTGAACGACGTGGCTGCCTGCCACTCGACTCAACCGCTCTAGCTGACTCCACGCAATTATAGATCCCTAATTACGAACCCGCACGCCATGCTCTGTACACCTATCCCTCTCTCGTTTCCATCCCCTAGTGCACCGTAGCTTTCCGCGACCCTAACTCTCTCTATCCCCGCGTCCTCTTGCTCGCGCTATTATCGCTACCCGTATCTCGATCCCCGAACCCTCCGCGTCGCTATTGCCGGCTTTACTGTCTCTTCTTCCCCCGCTAGGCCTCGTCGTTGCACCGATTCCTGTTTTTCTCCTCTCTCTTTCGTCCCTCCCGCTATCCTACACCCCTCGCTACGACTCCCTCTTGCTTCGGTTCGGTTAATTAACTCCCACCTCGTTAACGGGCCCAACTGAGCAGCATTCTCCTTCGAAAAGTAAGCAATTCATCGCGCGGCTCGTGATATCGAGCACACCAGAGTACGGTGTCGGTTGGAGTAAGGACTCGCGAAGATTGCCGGTTTCGCTCTTGCTACGCGTGCATGTCCTTGCCGCGATTCTTTTGTTCGGGATAGGTACGATGCAGAATCTCGCAAACAGAATCTAATTAAAGTTTGATTTGATTTTATCGCGTCGATCGCGACGACTGCTCGTCGTGTTACGCGAAACGAGTGGATTTAAAATCACGGCTGGTTCTCCTAGCGAGCTCAGCCTGCTCGACGCGTTTTCCCCGTCGACATTTAAATCATCTTAACTATTCATTTAGCGCTACCGCTAGACGGTTTTTTGCGCTGTTTTTCGTAATTAACAAGGAATAACCTGATTTGCGTGCAGAGCACCTGGGACGATAATCTTTCGACGCGAATGTTCCACGATGGGGGCGGATATTGCGGACAATATCCGATACTAAGGTCTCGTGGTCTCGCGCGCATCTTGGCAGGCGATGGAACGAAGCGACGAAGAAGCCGCGCGGTCGAAAATGGGTGAAAAATAACCGAGGAGTTTTAGCGAAATTACTTAGACCCAATTAAGTCGAGTTTACCTTAGAGCTAGACGGGATTCGCGGCTTCAGCGTATCAAGCTCGGTGGGAAGGGAAGAGGAGACGAAGCGAGAGCGAGCGGAAAGTAGCGGACAAGCAAAGGTGAGAGAAGGAGGGAGAGAGAACGAGAGAAGGGCGATGGGAATTCAGTTTCCCCCTGCTAAGAGGGTTTGCTTGTATCCCTCGAGATGCGTATACGTCATCCGATTAAAATTAGTAATTAGCTAATTAACTTAAGCGCGCAGCACTCCGGACTAAGTAAGTTGACCGCCTGATTATGACGCATCGCTTCCGAGTTAGAATCTGGCCACGCGTTCGCGCTGACCCGCGGAAAAAAGAAACGCAACGGACGAAAGAAAGTCCACGAGCCACGAGGGAAGACACGAAACATACCTTTGCTCGTCTCGAATGTTTGTCCGCTATCTATCTCTCTAGCTACCCCATCGGAGGTTGCTTTGCATCTATGGGGAATTTTTCTGAGCCGAAGAATTACCTATTTGTGTCTATAACGAGTCGTTTTATCGTGTAGATCGTGCTTTCAATTTTTCTCCTATCGTAATTCTTTCTGGGTCGGGCCTACCTCTTACGATATGACACTGCGTGACAGCAGTCCCGCGTTGAATCATCGTCGCGTATCGGATTCCGCGTATCTCGGTCCGCAAATTCCACTTTCGCCGTACGTTTCCAGCAGGCCGGTGACGTGAGTGGAAAATTGATATATGCATGAAGCGAAATCTAGTGGAAAAGTGTACGATACCGTGATATTCGAAGTAGCGCGAGCAAAGGGACGCGCGTCGTCGAGAGTGATTCAGAAGTGCTTTCCCATGTTCCTTAACTAACCGTTCGTCGGTCCTGTGGACGGGTCGCATCGCGTCGCGGCGACCATACCTCGCCCAGTACGATCGCAACAAGGACCAGGCTAAAGGTCCTTCCCCTATTTTACCAAATCTCTGTCTATCATGCTTCCTATCTCTCCTGCGATTACTCTTTCGATACTCGAGTTTCTCGCGCCTGCACATTGCTACTTTTCAGATCTCTCTTCGTCGTTTTGTCTCGTTCGCGAACATTCTAAATTTATTTTACCCAACTTTGGCTAATCCGCTACCTCCAGTTTTTGCGAAAACCGCAGCCACGATTCTCGGAGACGGATTCGCGAGTTCGTTTTCTAAATGACAGTAACGTGGTCAGAGTTGCGGCCATTGGGATGCCTCCGAAGCGATGTATCATCGTTAAAGCATTATAAAAGATACGCCCCGACATCTCCCTCTTCCCTTTACCTTTCACCTCTCCGTTACCACAACAAACATTTATTTTCAGAACGGAGGATCGCCTATGGAACCATCGATATCTAAAGCAAGTAATAGGTAACTAATTTCCCATACCGGCAGCCTCGCGTAACAGGACCCGTATGTGTAATTCGTCAGAGAATCAGTAGCGCACACGCGTCCCTGTATCTCGATTAAAATTTCTTTGAACCCTCGAGCACGGTTCGTACGTCTTTGTGTCTGTCTGTGTCTTTCAGCTTGAATTCTCGTCGACCGATGCGGGCTTCTGCTGGAAAACGACCGCGACGCCCCGATTCGTTTAACAAACTATTAACGCCAAATCCGAAGAACCCGCCGAACGAGCCCACATTTAGGGTCGATCGAAAAAATTCCACGTCCTTTCCCAACGGAAAATATAGCAACGAGTAAATTATAAATTCCTCGAATGGTACCGGAGACATCGAAGAGGTTTTTATCAAAATTACTTTTTATTTACGCCCGAACACCATCCATTGAAACCGTGACTTCGTTGTGCGAGACAACCTATGATATCCGGATACTTGGTCGACACTTTATTCGGCAACGATTCTATAACAAACTTCAAACTATGTTACATTTGTTGGTTGTCGCTAGACCTAACTGTAATTAGTGTAGGAAACTGTACGAAGGAGAGAGGGGAGAGCATACGTGTAATGCTCTCGTTAATTACCTGACATGTTTAGCATGCATTACATCTACGTATACGAGGTAGCAGCGCCGTACCCATCCTGTCAGTCTACCTACACGGCTGTTATGTTCTACCTATGGCCCATCGTTCGCGTTCAGGTCGAACAGCGCGTGCGACGGGTAATGAGCGAAACGAGGGAATTTTCGGTAAATTGCTAGCACGAACTTGAAATTGGAAGGAACCCGCTGGCTGTTATTAAGGCAACCATCTATCGTTCGTTATCGCTACGTAACTACAAGTCCTCTCGTCGCTTCCCCTCGTTACCGAACTCGTCCGATGCTGGGCCTACGCGATCTAATTACGAGAAATATCGAGCACAGTGTAGCGATCGGTCTTTGTAGGATTGGGTCCGAGAAGACCCAACTTCAACCGTGTTAGGGGTTAGCCGTTGTCGCCCCATGGCGACAAACACAAATAGCCGAGTTGTATATTCACCTGTGATTCGATAGAATTCTTTCGCAAACAGAAACACAAAGTGTACCTTCGAATCGTTTTATATTTGACGAGTAAGCTGCACGAATACCGTGTGGATCGAAGTGTCCAGCAGAGTGTGTCATAAAGATTTAACCGAGGTCCGCTACGAATCGGCGAGCAATCGGGAAAGAACGTTTACATTTGTAACGAAAAACGCGATTAATATCGTACGAAAGGCAAATGGACGGTAAATGACGGTGGACGGCCACGGACGTGTACGATCGGCTGTCCGAAATAATGCATAGAACGTGGAGTGCACGTAACGGAATAACAATTTCCTACTGCATTAATTAGAGGTCGACGAGGCGTGAAATCGAGGTTTACGAAGCGTCAACTAGTTTTACACATCGCGACGGAATAATAACGTCGCGACACGACTGGAATTCCGAATACATTACCTGCGCCACAGCGTGCCGCGAGCTCTGTAGCGCGGACCGCTGAAAACCAAGAGATCGGGGGCTTGTAATGATTAACGACAAATGTTAACGTCCAAAATTCGATCGACCCGCTGTCGCTGCAATTAGGATAGAGTGGAGTTAGGGGGACCATGCTCTTTAAAATTCGAATTTGCCGGCAAACGTTCGCATAATTAGAGTGACACGTGGCGTTAGCAACTCTGTTACCTCCCACGAAAATTGACGAGCTCTTCCTCGTGTTCCTGCGAATATTCTATCAGGATAACAGAGATCGCGTTCCGACCCTGAAAAATAAGTGACGCCCGTCGCGTCGGTTTACCAATGTTGCAATTTTAATTCGCCGAAAAGTCGAACTGTTCGTTCGCGGAATTGCGGTGTTTATCCGCGACCAACCGTGTAATGACCGTCAGCGGTCAATTAACACTTTCAAGACCAACGCGTGTTGCACGAACGCAAGTCTCGTATGTATCGAGAACTATGCACACATTTCGTGCTCTATCACGCAAAATAGACGCCTGGGATTGGCATTTTTATTTCCCGATATCAATTTCGAAGCGACGATGGAAGGCTTTTAATTGGGACTGGCGATGCTGCTGATGCTGATGGCGACTGAATCGACCAGCGTCGGTAATGGAACGCGATAAATGCCACCGACTCTGCATGCCGCTGCGCAAAAATTCTGCGAACCGAGTCGAACATGTCGAAGAACTCGATATCTTTTTACACCAAAAAAAGTAAGCTAAATTCTCTGGACGAGGTTAGTTATTGCTTATTTATATGCAAGGGAGAGCGGAGTAAGTTGGATCGCTATTACTTCAACGTCTTTTGCTCTACGATTGCTCCTATTTCCTACAAAAGTTTTTAATTCTATTTAGTTACTCTTTATGTTCCCACATAAAGATATAGGACACTCGATATGCGGAAATATCGACCACAATTATTGTTAATCTCGACAGTTGAAACTGGAAATCTACTCGAGGGTAAATCAACGTGATTTTTCTCGAAGGCTGTTTAGTCGACGAAGGGCGACTGCCTGTCGATCGAGAAAATTGCGGATATGGCGCTTTCTCACTGCGACCAAACCGTCATTTCCTACATCAAATGAAACGTTCCGCCGTGCGACAGGAGCGGGAACCAATATTCGAAGATTGACTGTAATTTGTTTGTCCCGAAGCAGCAAAAGTAACGCGCTCGACTCAGACGGATCAGCAGACCCCGCGCCAGGAAACAAATTTTCCAGGGAAAAGTGTTAATACGAGGCGTTGACTTTCGTTCAAATATTTTCAAGAGGATATCAAACGTAGCTTTAAAACGGAGAAAAAAAGAACACTCGAGGAGAGTAGAGGAAAAGAGTACAGTGCAAGAAAGCATCGGAATAGATAAGCAGAAGTGAACACGATAAGCAGTACAAAACAGCGATAAACAATATGCGAAAGAGAATGGTGAGACGAAACATGGCCATTGGCTAACATGTCATGTATATCCTGTGGTCTATCGCGTATATTTTAGTCACGAATAAAAACCGATTTCTTAGCCTTTTTAAAACATATCTACAAATGTAATAAATCGCTAAAACTTCAGGAGTCTTTCCGATTCTCGAGTATCTAACATTATCTAATACCTATGATTTTTGCTACGAAAACTGTATTTTTCTTACTCGTATAATCGAAAAAACTCCTTAATTTTACGATCTACGATATCGGATAGAAGAAATATTCAAAACACCTGTGTTGTTCTGGTTCGAGAGCGCGTACCACTGTGAAACGATCGCTACTCCTACTCGCAATAGCTTCCTACTCCGTGATACTGGAAATAGGAAATAATATTTCACCGTACAAATTCTGTTTGTAAATTACTCTGATCGATCGTAAGAAACGAATACGTACCGATTGACCCGCACAAGAAGAGTTAACTGTGCACCGTGATTTGAATTTCATCCAAGAAAAATTACACTGCGATGCCTGTCCACCTGGCGACAAAACGGTGAAACAGAGACTCACAGTTCCAATGGTAACGTCTGTGGATGTGATCGGTGACTTTATCTCCGAATCGTGGTATAGTGGCACTTTCGCTTCTTATCTTATAAGTCGTGAATCGTTCGTAGCCTAAATCTAATACGGTAAGAAAAATATTAAAATTTCTGCTAGCAAAACGACCGTTTGCAAAGCGTTGGGAACAGAGACGCGAAAAGCTCGGTTTCCCGTAATTCGCATTTTACGGGCGATTGCGATGATGAACGATCGAGCATTCGAGATAAATTGGTTAAAATTAAACTCTGACAGAAACTAACAAAGGATAAGGGCGGGTAGAGAAAGGGTGACGAGAACCGTGATAGATATAGGGATGGAGCGTAGAGTGGGGAATGGGCAAACAGAGCGCAATTAACGTGCGACCATTAAATATGTACGCGGGTTACTGCGCCACGATCCACGATACGTGTGTGCAGAGGCCAGCGCAAATGCA